TCCATTATGTTCCCTTGCTAGCTCATAACGGGTAAAACGAGGATCAAGTTTTTGGAAGAATTTGAATTGTTCAAATTACTTAAGGGATTATATGTATATTGATACATTATAATATATATAGTTAATTGTAAATTAAAACTATATATTATGAGAGATATTATTTGAATGAGATTCAAATAAAATTAATATGAATGAGATTCATATTAAAACTATAGGTTAAAAATAATGTGCATGAGATGTACATTAAAACTATAGTTTATACGAGAGAAACGTTTTAGAATATGATTCTAATTTTATAATAAATAATTAAGTGTTAATTATTTATGTATATATATATTTATTAATTATTAATTGGATTAATAATTAATTATATTAATTAATTTGATTAATTAATATATATTAATTAATATATATATTATTATTATATATATATTTTAATTATATATTATATATATATTAATATTATTATTATTATTATTATTATTATTATTATTATTAACTCCCCTGCAAAATTGCAGGGGAATGGGGGGTTGCTGTTCCCCACGTCATAGTTCTTCTTCTTCAATGGTTGAAGAAAACAAAACACAGAACAGAAGGAAAAAAAAACTCTCAGATCTCTCTCAAGAAAAATTCTCTCAAACTCTCCCTCTCGTTCCAAAGAATTGCTCCCACCAACACGATCTCGAGACCCAAGAGGATAGCGAGGAAGATCCGGTGGTGGTGTTCGAAGGGAATTCACTGAAGAAACGTTCTTCAAAGGTTTAAGTTTCCCCTATATTTTTCTTGTTTAAATTTCGGTTTTGTGTCTCAAAAATCAGCAACGAAAATCCGCTTCTGCTCCGGGATTTACACCCCTTCAGCTGGATGATGCCTTGTGGGCTTATCGCACTGCATTCAAAACACCTTTGGGTACCTCTCCTTATAAATTGGTTTTTGGAAAACCATGTCACCTCCCATTAGAGTTGCAGCATAAGGCATTCTAGGCCATAAAGAAGCTGAATCTAGATTATGCTGCAGCAGGAGAAGTGTGCCGCTTGCAATTGCTAGAGCTGGAGGAGTTTCGAAGAGATGTTTATGAAAATTCCAAAATCTATAAGGAGAAAACAAAGCGATGGCATGATGCAAGGATCCAACCGCAACAGTTTGAAAAGGCCAGCAAGTATTGCTTTCCAACTCACGGCTAAAGCTGTTCCCTGGGAAGCTAAAATCTAGATGGTCAGGACTATTTTTGGTATCACATGTGTACCCTCATGGAGCCATCAAAGTGCAAGAAATGGACTCTGGAAGGGAATTTACGGTAAACGGGCAGAGGCTAAAGCATTTCTATGGAGAAAGCGTGCTGCACAATGCTGGAGTGCACCACTTTGCAACAGACTGACGAAATTCAACAGAGGAATAAAGGAGCAGGATTTAATGCTAAATCATTTTCATGCTCACACAAATTTAATTATGCATTTTATAGTTTAATCTGTTCTCATTTCATCTTCATAATTTAATTTTGTTATTTTTGTTAGGTTAAGGGATAATGTTGAAGTCAAGTAAGAGCATTCGGTAAATAAAGGATGGGGGCAGTAGTAATGAGAAGTTGTCGCTGGCACAGGCAGAGAGGAGGTGGCAATGCTGTAGCGTGGCAGGCGTGCAGGTGGACTATTTAAGGCAAAAAATGACTACATCATTTAGAAGAGAGAGGTTAGTCTTTTCCAATATTATAGGGAAGAGAAATTAATTATGATGATTTCGGGAAGATTTCTTTTGATTTGAGATGGAAAGTTTGAATTGTAGATTTTAGGGATAAATGCAAATCTCGTTTTTTCCCCTCGTTTCCCTTTTTATAACCCACATTCACCCACTCTCTTCCCCACTCTACTTTATTACTGTATCCTCTTCCCCTCTTAAACGTCCGAGAGCCCTCTCTCTCCTCTCTATGAGAACTCCAAAACCCTAGCGCAGTCATGCCTCGAGTTAAGTATAAGGCCAACCGAAAGAAAGTTGTCACGCTCGAAGTCTCGACCAGTAAAGAGTCGAGCGGTGAGTTTCACGAAGGTACAGAGGCGATTCCGCCACCGGAAGCCTCCACTGAAAGAAGTCCAGCCCAGCAGATGCCAGAAAGCCAGTAAGCACACCCACGCCGACTCAAAGCTTCCGCCGCTGCCTCTGCCCGCTGCCAGCCCTCAGGTAAGTACCCCAGGCCTCACCGCGTCTCTCCCGCTCGCCCCACCTGAAACACAACCCTCTTCCCCCATTGTTAAGCATCCGCATCTCAGCCCCGCTAAAACCATCGCCTCCAGCACCCCACCAACTTCCACTACTCAACCACCACCCCCTCCACCCACTCAATCACCTGCCTCACAACTGCAGATTCATCCTACTTCCATCAATACCTCTCATACCCCAATGTAGTTGAGGAAATCCACCGTCCGATGCTCCCCAAAATCACCCCCACCGACGGCCCCGCCTTGGGAACCCGCAAAACAAAGCGCCCTTCCCCTTCACTGTCCAGCCCTAGCCCTGCCAAAAATCCCAAAGCCTCGAAACCACCACCGCCTTCCAAATCTAAATTGGTCGACACCTTTTCCCCATCTGAGGGGAAATAGCGAATTAGCAGGCCATCTGTTTTGCAAGTACCACAATCTCCGAGCTCCACAATGCATGTCAACATCATACCTGCCGGCCAGACATTTTTCTAGAGGTTCATGGGCCTCGTAGCACATGATAGCTGTAAAGCCATTAAAAGCAGGGATCTCTACCACGAGAAGGGCTTTGTAGAGGCAGATATGCCCCAGATTGTCAAGGAGAGTGCAGCGAAGCTAAATTGTGAGCATTTCTATGCACCCCTATACCGGTGCTGACGGAGCTGGTGTGAGAGTTTTAAGCCAACTATGATGCTGATAGAGTGGGACGCACAGTGGTGCGGGAGGTTGAAGTTGATTGGATGCCCGAGAGAATCAACAAGGTACTCAAGCTGCCGAGCAACCCCCGAGCCGAGTTTAATTAGCTTGTCCAGCAGCCATCCATCAGAGAGCTTGACCATGCCCTGCAGTTGGTAGGGGTAAAAGGCGCATCTTGATAGATCATAGAAAAAGGCACCCGCTCCTTAAAGTTTTGTTAGGTCACTACTGAAGCAAATGTTTGGCTCTACTTTGTTAACAGCGTTGAGAGGAAGACAAGTGGTGCCAATGTGTAGAAGAGGTAGTTACATATGTATTGAGATTGTTATGTTGCAATTCAAAATTTCGTTGTTGTATAATCTCACTTTTCTACCTTTTGTCTCACTCTTGTTGGGGCTCTCACTCTCCTCGAGAATAACCCACTTGCTTTCGCTATCGATCTTGCTCTCACTGACTTGTTTACATATGAACATGTTATGTTACAATGTGATAAAGAACCAACTGATTGTAAGAACCTTTAATGGAACTAAAAATCTTATAAAACAAAACACTAAAACCCAAAATTCAAGTTGTATCAACCAAAGGAATAGCTAGAACGAATTACTTTGATGATCAATATCAAGAGTAGATAAAACTTGTTTCTAAACTCAAGATTCGAACCACTCCACAAGATAGCTCGATTAAGACTACTTGAATGATCCTAGCATGCAAATCTAACACTCAGGAATTGCAAAGAAAAGAACAAGCTCTAGCCTTTTGACAAAGCAAAATTGAAACTTTCATTCCATCACAAAATTCTGAATTTTCAAGGGAACAAGATAAGCTCTTTATAGCCGAAAAAACAACCCCAAAAGTAACCTAAAAGCATTTGAAAGGTTGTAACTGCCAATTACATGATGGTCATAACAACCACTAACTAAAATGTAACTTAAAAGACTTAGATGAAATATTTAAAACTGAAAATACAAAAAAAAAGAAAAGCCTTTGAATCCGAGAATTAAAGTTTGGCCAGCCTTCAAAGTATTTGTAACCTTCCAATTGTAAATGAAGCTTCACTTGAAGTACTTTGAAGTACCTTTAAGTGTAGTTCCATTAATTGATGGTTGACTTGCACTAAATAAAGCTTGTGATGCATTTAAGTTCATTTAATGCAACTTGAGTTCCTTTCCTTGAATCCAACTTGGCTCGTTTGAATGCAACTTGAGTTAAACTCCCCTTCAATTTCAACTATTTTAATTGAACTTAGAGTTCCTTTAATGCAACGCGTTCTTTAAGCTCTACTTGGAAGATGTTGAGTTGAAAAACTTCATCTATCTCTTGATCATCCCTAGCCGAGCTCACCAAATTTTGAACATGAGAAAGTAAGCTTGTTGAAGCTTACAGGCTCTTGATCTCGTCATGTGTCTTTGAGGCATGACAATGAATGTTCTTTGGTTCATCACAATGATTGTCATAGACTCTCACTCTAGTAAAGATTATTGCTCTTGCACTCGCTGAATCATTTACATAACATGGTTACATACATTCAATGGTTCTCATAGACTCTTGTTGTGTTAGACTCTCACTACTAGACTTTCACATCTCTCATTCTAGTTATCACCTTTATGTATTCTCGCTCTACCGAACATCACTATCGTTTGAACTTTGTCACTCTCACTCTCGATTGTAAGTGACTGTAAATAATTTTATACTGTTCTGAAGCTCACGCTCTTACTTGTCCCCTTCATCAAACAAGCTTCAAGAAACATAGAACAACGCATATAAGTAACATACCCACGCCAATTCAACCTTCAAACAAAGCTTAGAACCCATCGAAACCAACAGAAAGTAGTTGATAGAAAAAGAAAATTCATAAAACAACAAAAACGAAACCTAAAACACAACAATGCAAAGTGTTTTAAGTACTTTAAACGAGAGAGTTGTGATACAAGAAGAAAATGAAATGAAAAGAGAGAGATGTGACTACTCGATGAAATGAAAAAAGAAACAGAGGGAATGAGTTGTATGAGGGAGTTTCCAGAAGAAAGAAACAAAAAAAAAATGTCATTTTACATGTAGGGGTGATGCTTATCTGGAAAACTCATTTCCAAAAAGACAGTCATTATTTCATTTTCTTCCCAAAAAATTGGGTCAACCCGTGGAAAAACCAGGGATGATTGTTGTAGACTCTTCTGGGTAGTACATTCAAACCGGGTGAAACCCACCCAAAAACAACAACATACAATTTATGTGAGCTCTTTTGCATACAAAGAGCGGCGGTTCTTCCACATCCTTGTCCTCGAGACTTGGGACTTGGGACTCGGGACTTGGCAGAGGAGTATTTGGTGTTTTCTTCTCCATTTCTCACTGTCTTCCAGTCCCTGCCGGAAATACTCGTACGTCCTCGGGCTCAAAATGAAGCGCGTCTACCACGAAATTTCCGACGACGAGTGGTTGAATCACTCCTTCAAGCCCTCTCGCGTGTTTACCAAAGCGCAGGCCGAACCTCCGATCCCTCCTCCTATTGAATCTTTTGCTTACCGACCGCACAAACAGTATACTTCCGACGACAGCAGCGATGATTGTGTCGTCGTCATGGAAACTTGCAAGAATTTTGAGGAGAATTTGGAGGACGATGATGTCGAGGTTGAGGAGGGACTGAAGTCCACCGCGGCTGTGGGTCGCGGCCGTCGTTTCGTGGTTGATGATGAAGATGAAGACGAAGACGAAGACGAAGAAAGCGACGGGGAATTTGCCGAGGTTTGTGATGTTAGGTCGACGAGTGAGGAGGAAGGCAGGGAGGAGCAGGACGATGGTGTCGTCGGTAAGGCTCTGCAGAAATGTGCAAAATTATCTGCGGAGTTGAAGAGAGAGCTGTACGGATCATCCGTCTCTGCCTGCGAACGCTATTCGGAAGTGGAATCTTCTTCTGTTAGGATCGTCACCCAGGTACTACTACTAATCATTTTCTATTTGTATATCCTTCTTTGTAGCAATGCATGGCAGGAAACGAGTTAAATTTGCTCCAATTTGATGGATTTTAATATCCCAATATAGGATGATATTAACGCGGCTTGTAAGGCTGAAGACTCAGATTTTGAGCCTGTTCTGAAGCCATATCAATTGGTTGGGGTGAACTTTCTTCTTCTTTTGTATCGGAAGGGAGTTGGCGGAGGTACAAAATACTGCTCTTATCACCCTTTTGCTTAACACATAAATTTATATTTAATACCGTGGATAACATCATTTTACTTGTGTATCTGATTCTAATTTTCACCACGATTGTCGAAAGTTGTCATCATCCAGCTCTGAGAATCTTAATTTATATTTAGTTTGTACAATTGAGAGAAAACAGATCGACATGTTCAGCCTTTTGGATTATTATTCTCCAGTTAGCTGGAAGCCTTTTGTGAAAGTGAATTACTTCAATGAATCTCACTAATGTACGGCTGAAATAACTACCAAATATGGCTGGTATATTTTGTCTCCTGGATTTTGGTTTAGCAATTTTTGATCAGCAAATTGGGATGCACACAAGCCACTGGATCGAAATGTGCAAGAAGCACAGCAGTGAAATGCACGAGAAAAATATTGTCGAGAAGTTAACAAACCACAGTATTAAGTTGGCAACTTGGATTGTGGCAGAGAACTATTCTCCTAGAAAAGGGTTTAATTTATAAAAATATTGAGGCTCCTCTGAGGATAAGTTTCAAAAATATGGTCATCTTTCTTCAATTAATGGAATATATGTAAATCTCTATTGTATATGTATTTTGGTTGTTGGATTTACTATCCATTCTTCTGTTTGTTTCACTTCTTTTATAAAGTTACATTGTTTCACTTTCACATAAAGTGAGTTTTTTGGTAAACCAGAATGCTAGACCCTGTGTTCCGATAACCATTCTCGGCACGAGGCTCTCTTTATAAAAGAGTAACTATCCTTGCCATAGCTAACAAATCCAACCAAATCTAAAAGATAATATGGTTTCTGACACCAAGTAGCCTCAGGGAAATAATTGTGGGATGAGGAAACTTTTTGTTTGAATTTTCAGTTTAGAAGGTGGCCGTTGAATAAAGGAATGGAGGATTGGGCATCCCTTAACAACAGGTTGGATGTTATCCATGCTTTTCCTCCACAAATACTCTAAAAGGATGGAGCCTCATTTGGAAATTTTTTCTGTTATCTCTCTTTGATGGTTGATTTTTCCCAGTTGGGACTTTGTCTGCATGAATTTTTGAAATATTGAAGTCCTAACAGAAAAATTATGGTCTCTTGGCCAGCTGGCTTGCTTTCACAAGAAAGTGTACAATTTTTCATGGTCTGTTTTCCTCGAAGGCATCGATACAAGTAATATACACCAAAAGGAGGAATCCTTTATCTCTTGTTCACTACTGCTGTGTTCTTTACAGATTCCCCCTTCACTCAAGTCTTAAGTTTGCTTGCCAGATGGTTATGGTGGTAGACTTGAAACTTTTTGACCTATGACTTCAGTTTCATGACCTAATATTTTGAAGGATTTTAGGTGCAGTGGAACCAGGTGCAATGTTTCTTTGCCTGCTTCTCATGGTTTTTGTGTTCAAGTTGGAGGACAAGAGGAAGTTTCATTCTTTGTATATCACCTTAAAGTAGATCCAGGTGCAATGGTTAGACTTTCTTCTGTAGAACTTCTTTAATTTCCAATGGACAACAAGTTTATTAAGAAGAGAAGGGTATTTCTGAAAAAAGAGTGATAAGGGTAGGAAAAATGGTGTGGTTTATGTGAATCAAATCTTATTAATGATAGCATAAAATGATCAAATGTACAAAGCCCCTTATTTATAAGAAGAAGGCCACTGTAAACAGGATAGTAAACTAAAGGTAAAAGCCTAACTACCTTAAATGACTAAACTAACTAACTAAAGTAGAGTTAGTTACATCAATTTCCCTCCCCCTTTAAATCGAACTCGTCCTCGAGTTAACTTGCCAAACTGAAGGAATCTGGAGTAGCATAAGGGTATATATCTGAGACATTGAATATTGGGTTGATATTATAGTCTGGGGGTAGTTTGATTTTGTAGGCATTAGGACCATATTTCTTCAAAACTTCGAAAGACCCGAATTTCTTCTTCTGTAGTTTGTGAACAGATCTGGTAGGTAAGCATCCCTTGGTTAAATGGATCATAACAAGGTCGCCTTCTTTAAATTCTTGAACCCTTCTCTTAGCATCAGCGGCTGTCTTGTATTTAGCGTTGGCAGCTTCAATGTGGTCACACACATCTTTATGTAGTCGTGTAATCCTCTCTGCCATTTGATCTGCCTCTAAGCTAAAATCAACGGAAAGGGGAATATAGCTAAATCCACAGTTAGTCGAGGTAGTTTTGTATAAACAACCTCAAAGGGGGACTTCCCTGTGGTCCTATTTTGCATGTGATTGAAGGCAAACTTAGCTTGTGCAAGAGCCAAATCCCACTGCTTGGGTTTATCACTGCAAAGGCAGCGTATCAGATTTCCAAGGGTTCGGTTTGTAACTTCTGTTTGACCGTCAGTTTGAGGATGATTGGTTGTATTATATTTCAGAGAGGTATCAAATTTTCGCTATAGATTTCGCCAAAAATGGCGTAAGATCTTGACGTCCCTATCAGAAACAATAGATTTAGGAATCCCGTGAAGACGGACAATCTCTCTAAAGAAGAGATTTGCTACATAAACGGCATCCACTTGTTTTTTGCAAGCCAAGAAGTCTGCCATTTTACTAAATCGGTCTAAAACAACCATAATCGAATCAAATCCTCGTTGTGTTCGGGGGAGTCCCAAAACAAAGTCCATTGATAGATCTTCCCAAATAGATTCGGGTGTGGGAAGGGGAATGTATAATCCGGTGTTTTGCTTTGTTCCTTTATTTGTTTGGCATATGAAACATTTTGAAACATAGCTAAACACATCTTTTCGCAATTGTGGCAAAAAAAAAAAAAACGTGAAGCCACAATGGTAAGTGTTTTATCATGGCCAAAGTGTCCAGCGAACCCGCCCCCATGTAAGTCTTTGATGAGAGCCTCCCTTAGGGATGTATGGGGAATGCATAGTTGGTCACCTTTAAAAAGGTAGCCCTTAAGGATATGAAAGTCTCCTGTTTTTGTGTGATCTTGACATTGATGCCAAATGGTGTCAAAGTCAGGATCATTCACATAAGTGTTAGGAATAGTTGAAAATGCTGTAATTTCTCCTTGTAAGAGTGTTAACAGTGTGCTTTTTCGGCTTAGGGCATCGGCTGCTTTGTTTAATGTTCCATCCTTGTGTTTAATGACAAATTCAAATCGTTGTAGAAATGATAGCCATCGAACATGCATTCGGCTTACTGTTTATTGAGTGTGAAGGAATTTTAGAGAAAAGTGGTCTGTGAACAGGATGAACTCTTGGTTTAATAAGTAATGCTCCCATTGTTTGAGAGCTCTTACAGGAGCATAGTAGAGTTCTGGCTCATATGTGCTCCAGTTTTGGTGAGAGGGGTTGAGTTTCTCGCTGAAATACTCGATTGGATGCTGGTTTTGTGAAAGAACTGCGCCAATGCCAATACCCGAGGCATCTACTGCTACCTTAAAAGGTTGTGTAAAATCTGGGAGCTGAAGAACTGGACTCTGAGTAAGTTTAGCTTTTAGGGTCAAAAAACTATTGGTTTGTTATTTTTCCCATCGAAAATTACCTTTCTTCAAACCATCAGTAAGGAGACTTGCTATAGAACTAAATTTCCTATAGAAAGATGCTATGCCTATTCCAAAAGAAAACATTGTATTCCTTTGATAGAATTAGGTTGTGGCCAATCAGAAATTGATTTTATTTTTGAGGGATCCATTTTTATCCCATCATGCCCTATGATGAATCCTAAGAAGCAGAGAAGAGTTCTGTAACTAAAAAAATGCATTTCTTAAGATTAATGACGAGCTTGTTAGTATGGAGGGCCGTGAATAATGTTTCAAGGTGAGATAAGTGGTCTTCCCTATTCTTACTATAAACCAAAATGTCATCAAAGTATACAAAAATAAATTTATGTAAGAAAGGGAGTAAAACTTGATGCATAAGCCTCATGAATGTGCTCGGGGCATTTGAGAGACCAAAGACTAAGTGACTAATCATTCGAATAATCCCTCATTGGTTTTGAATGCGATCTTCCATTCATCTCCTGGTCTTATTCGTATTTGGTGATAGTTGCTACAGAGGTCCACTTTAGAGAAAATTTTGGCTCCACCCAATTGTACTCCCTTCCCCTTGTGGTTCTTTCCCATTCTTCTTCTTCGGCTGGTCTAGTTGTATGTTGTCGATCTTGTCCACCAGCACATGAAGGATTTGTTTAATCTACACCACATTCTGCTGCAGATTTTCGACAGCTTCTTCAACCATCAGTAAACAAATGGTTGATGATCGTGGAGAGAGGGCGGCAACAGTTTCCGCTTCTTTTTCGACAAGAGAAGAATCTCCCCCAATCGGAACATTCTTTTTCCCCGCCATTCTTGAAAGCCCAAGGATTTTCGGTTGCTCTGATACCAATTTGGTGTGGTTTATGTGAATCAAATCTTATTGATGATAGCATAAAATGATCAAATGTACAAAGCCCCTTATTTATAAGAAGAAGGCCACGGTAAACAGGATAGTAAACTAAAGGTAAAAGCCTAACTACCTTAAATGACTAAACTAACGAACTAAAGTAGAGTTAGTTACATCAAAAGATCATCAATTATCTTGACTGGTATGTTAAAATCTCTACGTTTCGTATTGAGGGTAAATGAAGACAGTTTGTTCCTGTTGAGAAAACAAAAACAAGGAAGGTTGGGCTGTATTTTTGAGATGATGTGTTTGTTAATGAAATCTTGAGGATGTAAATAAGAGATAGAGGGCTGATGGGAAGCAACATTTGCTAAGGATGTGAATTGGCTAATATTTAAATGAATTACATGGTTATTCACTGATAGCCATATCTTCTCCTTGAAAGGGTCTGCTTTTAGTACATAACCACGGATTTTTCTTGTCATCAAAAAGCATGTAATAGTTGTTTTCTATAATACTTTTGATTAATTAGTGAATTAACTATTTTCCAATTAGAATCATAGTGATAAGCAAAAAGGATTAAAGTATTTCTTCTTCTTCTTCTTCTTCTCTCCATCTACTCGATCTTTTTTCAACCCCATCAGCTTTCTGGTTTTAATTTTTTTTTTTATATAAATGAAATAGTTGTTTATTAGAAGGTTTATTTTATTTTCTATTTCTTTATTTATCCAATTAGAATCATATAGATAAGCATGTAATTGTTTCTTATGAGAATATTTTTTTCAGTTGGATTCATAGAGATAAGCAAAAGGGACGACCTTACTTGAACATGATCTGTTCTATAGGTTGTACATCTGTTTCCCTGAGTTCTAGAGATAAGCAAAAGGGACCATATTTCTGTAATTACTCTCTATCCACCGAAGATGTTTTTTCAACTCCATTAGATTGCCTTTTTGTACATTTCTTGTATCAATGAAATAGTTGTTTCTAAGATTTTTTTTTTCCCAACTAGAATCATAGCGACAAGTATAGGTTGTTTTTAGAAATTTGGTTTGAAAGAAACCAAATGGTGTTTGAAGGAAAATAGAGGTCACAACTAGATTCTTTCAACATTGCTAAGTTTAAGGCTTCACAATGGTGTGCTCTTTTTGATTCCCTCGCTAGTTACCCTCCTAGCATGATTTGTTTGAATTGAGAGACCTTTATAACTCCTTTTTAGCTTTAATTCTCTATTGTTTATGCTTTTATTTTTTTCGTTTTACTCCTTTGAGAGTTCATATCTTTGAATAATTTTTTTTCCTTTTCATGAATCAATGAAAAGTTCGTATCTTGTCTAGAATAAAATAAAAAAATCCACAAGTATATGTTGTTTTTATTACATTGGTCATTGCACATGATAGTCAACTGATCTTGTTGTTATTATTATTATTTTTAAGGTTGTGCAAATCGGTCATATGGGGATGGATATGCTGTTCCACTTTGGTTGTTTCAGCATTGCTATATGTAAAATTTTTGTGTTATGATTCTCAAAGAATACTTGCAGCTCATACTTGAAAACTTGCTATTGTCTACAATGTTATCAAACATTGTCGATCCATATTCTACTTGAAGTTTCTAATGGGAATCCATTTTATAGAAATTAGTTCCGAAGTAACATGAACTCTTAATAGATGTCAATGAGATCAAAACAAATTATAGCAGCACCAGTTAATTGCTATGCTCAAACACATGCACATGCAGGACTTTACACTCGTTGCATGCGTTTGCTAGATTTTACATGTAGAAGTAAGCTTTTCCTTGGAATGATAGTTGAAGTTATTAAATCTTTTGATACAAAGAATGCATTTTCAGATCAAACTTTTCAAGGAATAACCAATTGACTTGGTGTGAATCAATCTGTTGTTGCAATAGATTTGCTTCGAAGATTGGTGTGAAATACCTGTTAATACAGTTTTATAACTTGCCTTGCATCAATAGTGGGGTATTTGATGCATCTCTCGTATAGGATTCTGGACTCTGTAGTCGGCTCAACAGAAAGGTAGGGTTTTCAGATCATGCAACATAGTTTTGCAAGGAGCCATGGACTGGCAGAAAGATAGGGTTTATTTGCTTCTAGTTCTCTTCCTTCCTGACAAGCTTCTAGCTTGCTGAAGTTTGACGAGTGAGAGTTTCTTCTTGTGTCAGTTATTTATTGAAGCCATCAGGTGCAATTATCTTAAGGTATATTGTCTATATAATTACTCCAGATGTTTTTACTTGACAAATTACCCGGTAAAATCGAGTTGTATTTCTCCGTCTTGGGTCCATCATCAAAAGAAGGCTGAAGAATGTTTAGCTATGGAAAACTTTTATCTTTTTAATGTCATAAATGATCTGTCATTTTCATATTATCAATGAAAAGTTTTTTTTTGGTTAAAAAAAGTGTCATAAATGATCTGAAAGATGGTCATTGACTCGTTATTGTCTATTGCTATGGACTTATTTGGAGAGAAGTATTTGCTTCTGGTAGTTGAAGAGTTTCTCTTGAGTATGTATTCTTTTTTAACAAGATACAATATGAAAAGGAACAAAATGTTCAACAATAAAAACTCTGCAAGAGTGAAGAGAAATACAGAAAACTAAAATAATTAAAAACAATTACAAAGGGCTAATAAAAGCAGCCCAATTATTAAAAATGAGAACAGGGGAATAATTCGAAAAGAAATCCATAAGACAACACCCATGAGAGGCCTTGAGCTTAGCAAAATTAAGACAATCAAGCGGCAGTCTATGCTTTCCTTCGAAGATCCTCAGATTTCTTTCAAACCATAATTCTGAAAGAAAACTTTTCACAGCATTAATCCACAAAGCCCGCACCATGGATGAAGGATGAAGAATTCCACATAAAGTTGAGGCAAATTTGCTTCTGCCTTGTAGTCCAAAGCCCGGACAACCCGAAATTGAGAAAAAAGAGAGGACCACCCAATAGCAGCATAGGAACAATGGAAAAAGAGATGGTTCAAGTCTTCCCCATTTTCCTTACAAAGAACGCTCATAGATGGCGAAGAAGAAGAAGAAGGAAGCTTTTTCTGGATAAGATCTGCAGTATTAAGCTTCCCTTGAAGGAGAATCCAAGAAAAAACATTAACCTTTCTTGGACACTTTAATTTTCATAATGCAGCAAAAAGATCCTTGGGCATTGGAGAATCGTTATGCATTCGGAGAAAATTTTCATACTAACTTTTGTTGATCTATAGTTCTTTGGCTGTTTCTGATGGTCTCTTCCATTTTTTGTTGGGATACTTTTTCTGATAGGACTCCTGAAAAGTTCTTGATTTTCTGATGTGTGCATTTTAAACCATTTTGTGACTTTATGATTTGTGTTTCTTCCATGGACTAGCTGCATTATCGTATAACTTTCTTCATATTGCAGCTATACTTGCCGATGAGATGGGTCTGGGGAAGACAATTCAGGTATGTACTGCATATTTCTATTAGCAATTATCATTTTGATGTCATTGCTTCATCGTCAATCTTTCTGATAACAGGCTATTACATATCTTGTGATGTTGAAATATTTGAACAATGATTCGGGGCCTCATCTAATTGTATGCCCTGCATCTGTTCTCGAGAATTGGGAAAGAGAACTCAAAAAGTGGTGTCCATCCTTTTCTGTACTCCAGTATCATGGGGCTGGCCGGTCGGCATATGCAAAAGAATTGACTTCTCTGGCCAAGTCGGGCTTGCCTCCTCCATTTAATGTTCTTCTTGTTTGTTATTCTCTCTTTGAAAGGCACAGGTCATTTTATGTTTTCAATCTTCACTTCTAACTTCTCAATTAATTTTTGTTATGTGGATTTGTATTAGTTCTTATCATGTATGGTCTTCTACAGTTCCCAGCAGAAGGATGAACGCAAAATTCTGAAACGCTGGCAATGGAGCTGTGTTCTTATGGACGAGGCTCATGCCTTGAAAGATAAAAACAGCTATCGGTGGAAAAACTTAATGTCTCTTGCACGTAATGCAAAGCAACGGTTAATGTTGACGGGGACACCTCTACAAAATGATTTGCATGTACTGATCCATTGTCGATCTTGTTATTGTCATGACCATCTTTTTGTCATTCAAAGCATCAATGTACTTAAGTAGACCCACGAATAATTGTGTTTGAATTCTATGATTTAGTTTTCATGTTTTCTAGAGTCTATTACATGAAAAAAGCTAGAAATATGTGAGAAGTGTGATGAAGCATTTACCAATTGTCTTTTGGAGACTTAAATGGCTTTGATGATGTTGAAATTTTGCGTTTTGATAAATATTTGTCATAGATATTGACAATAAGGTACTAGAAGTTTTAATTCTCTTTCCCATTCCTCATTGTAAGAACCTCTCCAAGCTTAATCATTTTTTCTTTTATGAAAACTTGAGCTTTCATTCTTTCTTTTATGAAAATTGAGCTTTCATTTAGAAGAATGAAAGAAATACAGAAGGGCATACAAATAGCCCAACAAAAAGGAGAAGGGCTCCAATCTAACAAAATCTAACTTAAAAGAGTAATTAGAAAAAGTTTTCGGCACCGAAGTCATAAGGGAAACGTGATACCTAACAAGATCCTAAATCTCCTCCATGAACTCTTGACCCCTCTAAAAATCTTGTTGTTCCTCTCAATCCAGTGCCTCCATTAAATAGTTTGTACTCCACAAAATGTCCCTTATCCTGAAGTGGAGGATGAAGAAGGGCCTCCTCCAATATAGACCTACGCTCTCTAAGGAATGGGACATTTTGTTTAGCAACTCCAGGATAAGCAGAGCTGAAAGAATTACTTCTGACCACTATCCAACAATTGTTCTTGAAGCAAGGGATTTCTTATGGGGACCTTCTCCTTTTAGGTTCTTTACTTCAGCGTTAGAAGATAAAGATTGTGTCGACTAGTTTAATCAGAGCTCTTGGAGGATAAATGTTATGGTTGGTTAGGGTTTGTGATCTCCTCAAAGCTCCAGAATCTCAAAGTGTCTTAAGCAGTGGAGTACTCAAAATGAAAAGAAACGTAAAGAAAAAGAGAGCCGATAACCAAGAGATCCCAAGTCCTTGCCAACCGAGCTGCCCCTTGGGGCCTTGTGTGGGGTCAATATTGATTTCCCAAAAGTTGCATGGTTCGCCAAGAAGTTAAATTGTAAGATTGAATCTCTACCTATGTTGTATTTAGGTTGCCCCTGGCTGGAAACCCTAAAATGACCGATTTTTGGAATCCCATCAAAGAAATTTTTTTGAAGAAGCTCGATAGATGGAAGAAATATCAGCTCTCACAAGGAGGTAGGCTGACCCTATGTCTCTCGGTGGTTGGCAGCACCCCTTTGTACCTCTTCTCGTTATTTTGAGGAATAAAGCCCTTTTAAGAAGTGGTTGTGGCGGTTTGCTTTTGAGGAGAAGTATTTGTGGAGAAGAGGGATCGCTGTAATCTATGGGGTGGATTCTGTTGGGTGGTTTACTAGGAGTAACAAGGGATCCTCGATTGTAAGGCCTTGGATTGATATAGAAAGCACTGGAGAAGCTTTTCTAAACCTTATGCTTTTTAAGGTGTCTTCGGGTAATAGAGTTCGGTTTTGGGAAGATTTTTGGGCTGATCCCTCCCCCCTTGCCAGTTTGTTTCCGAAGATATTTAATTTGTCAAATAAGAAGGGTGTTTCGATAGCCGAGTGCTGGGACTCAGACTCTCTTACTTGGGATTTGGCCTTTAGAAGAAACCTTCTTGACTGGGAAGTGGAAAGATGGGCTCTGTTTACAGGAAAGATTGAGGGAGTGGTAATAGAGCAGGCGCAAGACAGAATGTGGTGGAAGGTGGATTCAAGTGGGATATTCACAACAAAAACTGCTTTCGTGGCCATGACCTCCCCCTCACCAAAGATGAATGCCTCCACTTCTTTTCGGATATGGAATTTTAAGGTTCCTAAGAAAGTAAAAGTGTTTCTTTGGTCTGTGTTCTATCGGGGGATCAACACAGTTGAAAAACTATAACGTAAATTTCCCCTTACGACACTTTCTCCTTCGGTTTGCACGTTATGTTTTAGGGATTTTGAGTCAATTGATCATCTCTTCCTTCACTGCCTGGTGGCTACTACGGTGTGGTTTCACTTTGCTTCCCTTTTGGAAGTGTCTTTTTGACTCCCTCAAGAAATTGATGATTTTATTTATGAAGGTTTTGGGGGAAGGGCTCTTTAAGGGTAAAGCTTCTATTCATTGGAATTGTGCTGCTAGAGCTTTACTTTGGCTACTTTGGAGAGAACGAAATGGTAGAATTTTTTAAGAGAAAAAGTCCTTGGTGATTCTCTTTGTGTGAATATACAACATACGGCTTCTTGGTGGGCTACTCTCCACAAGAAAGTTTTTTGTAATTATAGTCTTCAAATGATTATACGAGATTGGAAAGCTGTGATTGTTTAGTTCCTAGGGGAGGGTTTTATCTACCCTTTGCCTTTAGGCTGTTCTTGTTTTGTGATGGAATACAAGTTGTTTGTTTCTTATCCAAAAAAAAAAAAAAACCCGTGCATATCAGTAAACAGATTGAGAAATTTTTGAGAATCTCCTTTTCGGGAGATAGTTAGAAGGGATCTTGAAGCATTTGGTTAGATGGGATATTACTTCTCGTTGTTGAGAAGAAGGTGGTTTGGGAATTGGCAGGCTCCTGCAGAGGAATCATGCATTGCTAGCTAAATGGGGATGGTGTTTTAGTGTTGAGACTACAGCTGCAGGGCACCAAGTAGTGGTGAGAATCTATGGCTTGACCGTTTTCAATAGAACGTCTTGGAGAAAAAGTTGGCAATTGTCGTAGCCTTTGGTCTAGCATTCTGAAGCAGCGGTCTTTGGTAGCAAACTATTTTTTCTTAGCAAGAAATGAACTTTTCATTGACATATGAAAAGGAACCGTAATTGATCAGATACAAACCCGTGAGGGTGATAAGAGTAAAAGAAATGAAAAGAAATTAAAGGTACAACCAAACCAGCCAAAAAGAAGCTAAAAGAGATAGTAATACATTCAAAAGTTAAACTAAACAGTAGACAAAAAAGCCTCCTAATTTGAGCAAATCATGCTAGGAGAGCAATTCGCAAAGAGATTGGAGAGAACACACTATTGTGAGACTTTGGATTTGGCAATGCTGAAACTTTCCAAAGCCGATCTTCTTTTTCCTTAATAAATCCTTTGGTTTGAGAAACCATAACTTGGAGATAAGAGGTTCAATACCATTCACCTAAAGGAGGCTCGCTTTTGGAGGCAAGGAAGGACCAAACAAAAGTTGAAAGGTTGTCTTCGAGACTTCTCTATCTTGTACCCATACCATGTTGAATGTTTGAAAGAAAAGAGCCCAATAAGCTGATGCATATGGACAGAATTGGAACAAATGAATCTGGTCTTCACACTTTGCTGCACACATAACACACGGACAGTTGTAGGAGCATGTTTGGAAACTTCTTTTGGAGAATATCTGCTGTATTAACCTTCCCATTAAGGAGAATCCATGATGGACATTCACCCTTTTTTTGGACGGCACGAATTCTAATACTTTGATAAATGATCTTCGGGTTGTGATGAGGAGGAAACTCTAGGTTTACAGAGGAAATTAACCAAAAAAGTTTCTATAGAATCCAAGCTCCATCTATATTGATCTTCCTCCTCACAAAGTTCGGTTTCATATTAAAAAAAAAAAAACACGTCGAGAGTTAAATAATCCTCCAATTCCTCATCTTTCAACATTCTTCTTACTTCAATTCTCCAAGAGGAAGAGATTGAATCAACGCATCATGACTGATAGAAAGGGGAATGAAGAGACCCGAAAAAGAGTGGGAACTATATACTTTAGGTTAGAATTACCCAACCATTAGTGGTGCCAAAAGAGGATACATTTGTTGTTTCTTACTCTGAAAAGAGAATAGTTTCACCACCAAAGACCACTGCTTTGTATACTTAACCACGGGTTGTGGCAACTTCTAATGTTTTTCCCAGAAACATTCTAGCCAAAACAGTTAGTGCCATAAATACTTGCCACAACTTGTCGCCAAAGAGCTGTAGTCTCAACACTAAATTGCCAACTGTTTCCTACCATTTCATAGAAGGAAGAAACATCTTAGATCCAATTTTGATTGCTAATGAAGTGGTGGAGGATTACAGGGGTTAAAAGAAGAGCGGCAGGCTGTTAAAACTCAACATTGAAAAGACATTTGACAAGGTTGACTGGAACTTCTTAGAAGATGTCCTTATTCAGAAGAAGTTTGGCGGTTAGTTGGATCAATGGTTGTATTAGGGGTACCAAATTCTCCATTTTATTAACGGACGTCCGAAAGGAAAAATCGTTGCTTCTAGAGGTTTGAGGCCAGGATACCCCTATCTCCTTTTCTTTTCCTCTTACTCAGTGATGTTTTCAGTAGTTTGTTGGACAACATCCATCTCAAAGATTCCTTCGAAGGTTTCTTGGTGTACAATATCCATATAAAGACATATAGGTTCGGAGAATTGAGAGAGCCGCTTGACTTAATGTGAGCTGGCCTCCTTTGGGCACCCGAGTTTTCCGACTTTGGAACTTTATACTAACTCTCTCATAGATAGGGGGCATCAGGAGGTGGAGCAGTGATTACCAAGGTAGGGGAAGACCCAAATAGCAAATTGTCCATGAGCCCACTTTGCAACCAAAGGTACTCGATCCATAGAGGAGTCGATTTTTCGTTTTTGGTAGTTTAAATTCAGTCTTGGCTTACTTGAATATCTGAGCAATTTTAAAGAGATTGCTCATGTGACCCTTGATATTTTGCCTGAAGGGAATAGCATCATCTGTAGAATGGAGATGGTTTGATGAAGAGGGGTCGGTTCCCCACTTTAAAGCCTCTAAATGAGAACAAAATATATGAACCTTGGGGTAACGGTTTGCTAAAACTTTCAGCCAGCATAATAAAAAGAAAAAGGGAAAGTAGGCCAGCTCAATAAAGACCTATAGAGACTAGAAATTTTTTCTAAGCTTACCATTGATCATGATAGGGATAATTTACACTAGAAATGCAAGTACGATTCCATTTTAGACCATGCATGATGAAATTAGATCAGTCAGGAGTTCGGGGTTTTCTTATTTGGATTTATGCTGCTATGGCGCTAGTGAAATATCTTCTGTTTTGCTTGCAATTCCAAAGCGAATACTGTCATAATTTGTGCAATTATTTTAGCTCATCTGGTAGGCTTTTGGTGCAGGAGCTGTGGTCACTGCTGGAGTTCATGATGCCCAATCTTTTTGCTACTGAGGATGTGGACTTGAAAAAGCTATTAACTGCCGAGAATAATTCTTTGATTAATCATATGAAATTCATTTTAGGTCCGTTTATTTTGAGACGTTTAAAATCTGATGTTATGCAGCAACTTGTCCCAAAGATACAGCAGGTGGGTCGGAGCATTTTTTAAACTATTCTGGTCACCTTTCAACTTTGCTGCATTTCATTTGTATTGGTGGTTTTAATTTTCTTCTTTATAATTTTTTTTAATTATATTTATATTTTTTTAAAGCTGAAAATACTCCACAGGTTCAGTACGTTGTAATGGAAAAGCAACAAGAAGATTCCTACAAGGATGCCATTGAAGCGTATCGAAGTGCTTCACGTGCTCGTGTTGATAGAAATGCCAAGACTAATTTAAATAACATATATGGTGTTCTTCCTCGTCGGCAGATATCTAATTATTTTGTTCAGTTCCGCAAGGTGTGTGAGACATTTTCTGCTTACCTTTCCTGGATTAAAAAGTTTGTGCTTTTGACTCAATTGGCTCAATCGGTCACCCTGTTTCATATTTGTTCCTTCATGGAAGCATGGAATGTTTACAGACAGCCCAAATAATTAAAAGAATGAAATAGTATTTAGAAAATTACAACATAACAAGTATTTTCAAGAATTCCAAAAATCAAGTGTTGCCAAAAGGTGTTGGTTTCCCTGCCCTGCCCTGCCCATCCAAATGACGACCTCTGATTAAGAAGAATGTAAGGAAGATATTTATTTAGCATATTTCTGAATTTAATCCCAGCAGCAGAATTTGAGTGTAAAATTATGTCTTTATAGAACTTGCAATCTTTTCTAACAATGAATAGTTTTAGTGAAAAATATTACTGTATATTAGACCTTGCATGTAAGAATATCATTAAATTTTAACGTTTCCAAATTTTAACTCCTGTAACTAAATTTCTATTTTGGTAAAATTAATCATAAGATTTTTGTACAGAACCATATAATATCAACCTTTACAAATGCTTGAGTTGGACCAAACCTTTGTTAGGCTACTGTTGCCTTATTTTGTACCCCTAAACTGAGAGTTGCAGAAGGCACATATTTTCTTTAGGGTACAGAATCTCATCATTACTTGTCTGTCAAGATATGCATGATTATCATACCTTCATTGCAGAAATGTGATTTATGTAGCTGATGCAGAAAATTAAGAACATTTATTCATCATCAGCTCATCATTCAAACTTTTTGTTATTGTTCGCTATCAAGCTTAAAAACAACAAGTTTTTATAAATTAATTCTTCCAGTTTTTAAAATTTAGCTTAGATTTTGAAAACATTTCAAAAGTAACCAAGAAACAGGTGGGTGAAATATGTTTATAAGCTTAATCTTTAAAAACAAAAAATTAAAAACAAAATGATTATAAAATGAAGCCTTAGCTTTTAGAGTTTTATTAACTAAAAAGGGTGAACGGGCTAAAAGATTAGAAGGCATTTTGCTTCCTCCATTGAAAATGAAACTTCTTGACTTTTGAATTATATCTTATTGTTGTTGTGGTCTATTTGGTGATAAGTACACCCAGTTTTGTCTTTTTGAGGTATACCATATACTATATACAAATGTTTATGTTTGTGTAACTTTTCTTTTATCTTTCTATCTGTTGTTTCAGATTGCTAATCATCCTTTACTAATACGGCGCATTTACAATGATGAGGATGTTGCTCGTTTTGCTAAAAGATTACACTATTTGGGTGCATTTGGCTCGGAATGTTCCGTGGAAAGGGTAGTTGAGGAACTTAAAAGTTATAATGACTTTTCCATTCACCGGGTACCTTTTTTATTAGACATCACTACTTTATTTAGTTTGCTTTTAGATAGTAACTGTCTAAATCCACATCTTAGTTGCTATTTGAAACTACTATGATGGCAGGATTCATATGGTATGCTTTTATTGTTTCCTCTTTCACAAAGACGTTATGAATAGCATAATTACATTTAATGATAGTCAAGCAGTTTTTTTTTTTTTTTTCTTTTTTTCTTTTAGGGTCTGATGGGGGGATATTGAACGCAAAACTATCTTCGGAGAGTATAATAGTTTAAAGCCATAGAAAGACCCTCATAATATGATCCTCCCAAAAAAGGGATGGTAGTAAACTTAAAGTGTTAATGATGACAAATGCCTAGAGAGACATGTTGCTTGGAACATAACTCCGTTGGTCCATACCATGTTTCTTTACTTTGGGTGAAAAGACAGCGTCCTGAAATTGAGCAATGCCATAAAAGAACAAATTCTATGAACAAGGAGATAATACAGAAATTACAAAGATCCAGACTCAGGGAACCCTTGTGGAAGAAAGTGATTGCTAGCAAGTATGGAAGCAGAAGGGACATAGGGGCCCCCCTGTGTATTACTCAAACTCATTATAAAGGCCCTTGGGTTGCCATAGCCAAGATCTGTGGGCTGGTGGACAGATTGTATAAGTGCAAGTTGGGGAATGGAAAAAACATTCAGTTCTGGTTTGATGATTGGGCAGAATGCTCCTTTATGTATCAGATTTCCAAGGAATCAGCACAAAGAGGCCACTGTCCAGAAAATGTGGTCAGAGAGTCACGCTCTTGGAACTTGATTGCGAGAAGGAATCTCACGGATAGAGAAATCGAAGAGTGGGCTAGCCTTCAGCAGTACCTCTCCTTACTAAAGTCGAGTATCAGGCCAGATTCTAGAATTTGGAGCCTAAGCAGCTGCGGGAACTTCGCGATTAGCTCTCTGGTGTCTAAAATACTAACCATTGTAATCCTATCCCCTCTGGTCTGGTCAGTATCATATGGAGTTCTAAAATTTCTAAAAAGGTGAAGGCTTTCCTTTTGATTTTCAACCAGGAAAAGTTGAACTATTGTGATAGATTGCGCAAAAAAAGAAAAAAAAAAGGAAGAAAAAGAAAAAGAAAGATGTCAGTTTCCCTCAGCTGGTGTGTCATGTGCATAGCATAAGTGGAGTCTCACCCCCTCTCTTATTGTTCTGTGATTTCACGAAGGGGGTGTGGTCCAAAATGTTCAGGGTTTTTTGGTTTGAGTTGGTGCTTCCCTAAGAGCTGCAGGGAGGCTTTGCTACAGCTTTTTGTTGGCTCCCCTTCCAAAAGGAAAGCTTTGATTATTTGACGAAACACGGTGACAGCTACCCTTGGAGGACTTGAGGGTTTTTGGATCTTGTTTCTTTGTGATGTCTCCTCTTCGAAGATTTTTGTCATTATGGCTTTGTGATTATCAATGCTAATTGGAATTTTGTTTTTTAAACGTGGGCTTCATGGGAGTGCTTTCCCCCTTCTTATTGTAACAAGTTTTCTTTGATAGGAAATTTTCAGTTTCTTATCTCCAAAAAAAGAAAAAAAAGGAAAAAATGGAAAAAAAAATGCAAGACTAAGGGGAAAAATTAAGGAAAAAAACTTAGTTAAAAAAATTTAAGAGAAGCATTGGAATGTTGTTGTTTTTGTTTTTTAATTTTATCATTTTTATATTCGTGAGCGTTTGGGCTAGCTTGTGCATACTTCAATTAATCTCACGGGACAACCATTTGACTCTACTATATTTGATTGCCAAGGAAACTCGTAAGATATTAAATCTTAGATACGTGACCACTATTGTTTGAACCATTTCAATCCTTCAAACTTCTTCCCAAGATCCGATAGGACCTAAAAAACCATCTCTTTCCTCTCAAGCAAACCGATCTAAAAGAACAACGAAAAAAATCAGCCTTTCCAATGTCACAAAACACATGATTTAGAAGAACCTTCTCCATCACCAATCCCGATTTCGGGCTAACATGTGAGGTAATTCCTCATAATACTTCTGGGAATTAATCAATTGAGCCCGTAGGAGTTACAAACGTCACCCTACCAATTCGAGAGGGTGGATAAACTCTCCTTACTACCTTTCTTACGCTGAAATCTAGACCCCTTCCTCCTACTCTCCAGGGGAATATTTCTACCCAATCACTACTCTACCGTACAGCCCAGGCCCAGCTTTTCACTCTCGAGGTCGTTATATTCATATTCCCTTATTATTCCCCATCCCTGAGTACAATTCCCTTCCTACCCCTTTTAGAATAAGTCTTAGTTACTGGGGGCCTAACAACTTCCCCTCGTTCAGATCCACCTTGTCCCTAAGGTGGAAATCAGGGAACTGATGTGCCATGTCATGGATAGATTCCCAGGTTCTTCCTCAGGTGGTAGTCCTTTCCAGCTAACGAGAGCTTCGGCTTCTCCAATGGTATCATTGATGCTATTAGCAAAAACTTCTTCCGGGATGGCTAGCCACTCCAGTTCCTCATTCAAATGGGGAGGGATGTGCTGCACTGCCAAAAGCGGTCCTCGAGCCTGTTTCAACTGTGAGACATGAAAAACAGGTTGTATAGCCGCATAATCAGGAAGTGCCAAATGATAAGCCACCTTTCCTATGTGTTCAGTGATTTCATATGGGCCAAACCACTTCGCCGATAGTTTCTCATTTCTCTTCCTCACTCGTGACTTCTGTCGATAAGGACGAATTTTCAAAAAGACCTTTTCACCCACGACGAATTCACACTCTGATCGCTTCTCATCTGCATATTTCTTCATTCGCCCTTGTGCTCGTGTCAGATTCTCCTTGAGCAAGGCCAAGGCGTGGTCTTTGTCGATTAGTTGTTGATCGAGAATGTCATTAGCTGTCCGCGAAGACCCATAACTAATGAGTGGGGCGTGTGAGCCCATAAACCGCCTAAAATGGTGTAGCACCCAACGATCCATGGAATGTGGTGTTATACCAATATTCAGCCCACGACAACGATTGACCCCACGTTCGGGGAGACTCACTACAAAAAGGCACTTGTTAACCATCTCGGTTTGCCCATCTGTCAGAGGATGATAGGCCGTGCTCCTCAATTTAGTGCCTTGAATTCGAAATAGCTCTGTCCAGAAATTGCTGAGGAAGACCTGGTCCCTATCAGAGATGATGAATTGGGGAAAGCCATGAAGTCTTACCACCTCCTTAATAAATGCCGAAGCTACTGCCTTGGTAGTGAAGGGATGGCACAGTGGGATAAAGTGAGCATATTTGCTCAAGCGGTGGATTACTACAAAGATAGTGTCATTCCCAAGAGATTTAGGAAGGCCCTCAACAAAATCCATGGTGATGTCTTCCCATATACGACTTGGTACAGCCAAAGGTTGCCTGGTGACATAGCTAAGGACTTATTGCGTTTGGCACACACAACATTCCTCCAAAAATTTCTTTGTATCTGCCTTCATCCCTTGCCAATAAGCTCCCCACACATCCTCTTGTAAGTCCGAAGGAAGCCTAAGTGTCCACGGAGAACTGAGTTATGATAAAGATGGAGGATGGCAGGAATGAGAGTGGAAGTCTGGCAATGCCAACACTTGTAGGGAACACATTGCCTTTTTAAGCTTGTCAAAGGCCTCTGTTGCTTGCTTGGACCACTCGAAAGAGTCCTTCTTTAGTAACTGATTGAGGGGTGCAGCCAATACTCCATAGTTCACTACCAACTTTCTATAGTACCCGGTTAATCCAAGGAATCCCCTCAATTCCCGCACATTAGTCGGAATTGGCCACTACAACATGGCTTAGATTTTCTCCTGATCTGCTTCTACCCCTTCCATCGAAATCCAATGCCCAAGGTACTCGATCTTGGATTGAGCAAAGTGACACTTCTTAAAATTAGCACAAAATTAGCACAGAGGGAATTATCTCGTAACACATTGAAAACCACAGTAAGATGTGTTACATGGGAATTCAAATCAGGACTATACACCAGAATGTCATCAAAGAAAATGAATAAAAACTTACGCAAGTAGGGTTGAAAGATGTGGTTCATCAAGGACTGGAAAGTGGCAGGGGCATTGGTAAGCCCAAACGGCATAACGAGAAATTCGTAATGTCCCTCATGGTGCGGAATGCCATTTTATGTACATCTTCAGGGGCCACTTGTATCTGGTGATATCCATACTTCAAGTCAGTTTTGGAATAGATTCGCGACCTGTGCAACTCATCCAATAACTGGGATGGGAAACTTATTTGGAATCGTTGCTTGGTTCAGTGCCCTATAATCCACACAATACCTCCAACTTCCATCTTTCTTTTTTACTAGGATTACCAGAATTGAATATGGGCTAACACTTGGCTGGATAATTCCATTTTAGATCATCTCTGTGATCATGTTCTCAATTTCTGTCATTTGAGCATGAGCATAACGGTATGGATGTACGTTGACTGGATTTTCCCCTCTTTCAGTTGTATCTTATGATCAATTGTGTGAGGAGGTGGCAGGACATCCATGCTTTGGAACACGTCCTTGAACTCCTCTAGCAGAGGCACCCTTGGTAGTGGCCTCCCAGGCGCGTGCCATCCGCTTAAGGGACACTTCCATGCGTGTCAGAGCCGGGTCCCCCTTGAGAACAACGCGCTTGTCCCCTCGTGTAAAAGTCATAGTGAGTACGGGCCAATCAGTCTTCATTTTTCCCATCGCCTGCAACCATTTCATTCCCAGAATCACATCTAAGTTGTTAAGCTGAATGGGAAGGAAATCTTCTACCATGGTTAACTTCCGATAACACCAGCACCACTTCGCAACATATCCCTTTCCCTTTTACGGCTGATCCTGTCCGCGCGATGATCCCATAGTTAAAGGTCAATGATCGTGCAATATGGAGCTCATCAACCAGCTTTTGTGAGATGAAATTGTGAGTGGCTCCACAATCTAGGAGGACCACCACATCTTTGCATGGCAATACTTTTCTGAACTACCCCGATGTCTCTCAAACTTTTTCCGTTCCTCTTCCTCCATCATCATAAGTTCATCATCATGAACCATGAACACCCGGAGCTGCTGGTTCTTACATCTATGACCCACGGTGTACTTTTCGTCACATTTAAAACAGAGCCTCTTCTCCCTCCGTTTCCGGTACTCTTCTTCGGTCAAACGTTTATAGGGGGTCTCTTTCTTCGCTACTGGTATCGTACTTGTGGTTGTCACCACCTTGGTTTACTGGCCAAGGTGATCGTACGGGTAAGGGTTGTCTCTGGCGACTTCGTCATTGCGTTCCCTTGTGCGGAACTGACTTTCGCTTTTCGATCAATCGCTCCTTCCCTAGCTTCTTGGACCGCCGTAGCAATCTCTTCAACCAATTGGGCCCTACGCATTATTTGATCCAAGCCCTTGGGCTCTATGGCCAATACCCGATCCAGTCCATTTAGAAAAGTGCATTTGAGGACCTCATCAGGGAGTTGAGGCAGGGGAGTTGACAATGCTTCAAAGTGTAGCACCAGGGTAGGGTGGGATAGGGATGTCTTCTCCATCCCTAACCTTGCAGGAAATTGCTTTCCTCATCCTTGCCCTTCCCCAATTTTGGGGAATCAAGGCAGGTTTAGAACCGCCACCTAGAAGGGAGCACGACCATGATGTGAGGCTGTAGTGAAATCCTCATACTCAAAAGGAGGAGATTAAACAATTAGGTGGGGAGATGTTAGCAACGGACATCATCCAACCCAACCACAACTCATTTTTTAGCCCTGTTCTACTAATAAGCAAGAAAGATGCTAGTTTGCAGTTCTGTGTAAACTATCAAGCATTGAACAAAGATACGGTATTGGATACCTGTGATCAATGAGCTGTTTAATGAATTGAACGGCGCCATCTTATTCTTTAACCATTTTTCTTTATTTTGCATTTATTGCCCCTGTTCAAGTTTCTTTCAATCACAGAACTGAATGGTTCTTTTCGTTCTTTCATTCTAGTAGGCATTAATGATAGAACCTTATGTTTCTCTTTGATTGTGATCTATGTTCCAATCTTCTATTTGCAGTTATTACTTTCATATGGAATTACCGACAGAAAGGGAGTTCTACCAGATGAAGAGGTTCTACTTTCAGCGAAGTGTCGGGTATCTAATTACTACTTCTGATGGATGAGTTATTTGAATTAAGATTGAATACTACTACGCTAATAATTTTTGAAAATTTTGAAATGAGTTGCGTTGTCAAAAAATACAGGCATTAGCGCAACTACTTCCTTCATTGAAGCAAGATGGACATCGAGTTCTTATTTTTAGTCAATGGACATCAATGCTCGACATCCTCGAATGGACATTGGATGTGATTGGGTTAACTTATAGACGACTTGATGGAAGGTATTGCTCCAATTGTCTTTATATCTTGTTGACCTTTCATAGTTGCGGAAAAGATTAAACAAACTAGCCTATACCATTCCTCCGTTCCAATCCACTTTGTGAGGGGTAAGCAAATACTTCATTCAAGTTGGGTAGCTTATGAAATAAAGCCGAGGAATAGTTTGTAAGCTTAACCTTGTGATAAGGTGGATTGACATTTCTGCAACGCAGTCATTCAGGCTTAAGGTTTTGTGGTGATTGACGGATCAAATTGTAATGTTATGATAGTTTTATGTAAATGATTGTCAACTTCAGCCACCTTCCAGATGCTCTAGGCTCATATTGCATTAGGAGATGATACCCATCTAAAATAACTATATATAAAAACTACATGTACTATTATAGAAAATGAACAAGCAAGTACTATTTGTCTAATTTACATTAAAAAATTGATGGTTTTTTCTTTTGGTAAATGATAATCAACTCCAGCCATCCTTAAAACCTTCAAGTTCTTTAGGCTCCTATTACTGGGAGATAATACCAATATCAAATAATCTAAGATAAAAATCAAACTTATTTCTTTTTATTGACAATGGATAAGATAAGATTTGTCTAGTTTGAAATCCTAGATTCCAAAAGTTGGGAATTGGGATTGATCAACATATATAACCCACAACTTCAGGGGAGTGTTGAAGTTCATCAGTGAAGGCTCAATATTTTAGTCCAATTTCATTTTTAGTGCTTTGCTCTTCAGTTAATTGTATTGTTTTCTTTCACCGTTTATTTCCTTTCCTAATTTATTCCCGTCCCTCTTTCCTTCTATTGTTTGTTTCAGAGACTGAGAAGTGTTTGAATGATATAGAAAGAAGAAGCTTATTGTTTACACAATAAAATATATTTATGTTATGTACTTCGGTTTCTTAAATAAATTTCTTTAGGTTTTTTATGCTTTTACTCCTGTATCTATCTAAGTTCTTTGGTTTAATTGTTCCGTCTTAATTAAAAAAAATCTGTTATTTTTCTAAATATTTGCTCTTTCATTTTCTTTGCAAAATGCATCTGTCAAAATCAGCAGCATATTAAGAAGTCGATATATGGTCATATTATGATTCACTTGCTTTCGAACTTTTCTTTTATTATTGTTATTTTTTCTTTTTTCTTCTTGGCGAAGGCTATCGCACAAACATGGAAGTGAAAGTTGTTTCAATCTCTCTCTCTCTCTTTTTTTTTTTAAATATACATTATATAATATTACATTCCAATGATTTACTATAGGATAAAAAAGTAGAACAAGCAAAGATTTAGACTGATGTCGTTATACAGACTTTTTATGTAGTACTGCTCTTTGCTTCCAGAGAGCAATATTGAAATTTATGACAAATCTTAATCATCGAGGATCAAATTCTTTTGGACTTCTCTCTATGATGTTCTTGGGTTTTATTTTTGAATTTTGGAATTCTTTCCTTATGGCAGCACGCAGGTAGCAGAAAGACAGACAATAGTTGACACTTTCAATAACGACACTTCTATATTTGCATGCTTGCTTTCTACTAGAGCAGGGGGGCAGGGCTTGAACCTAACTGGAGCCGATACTGTTGTCATTCATGACATGGATTTCAATCCACAGATTGACCGTCAAGCAGAAGATCGTTGCCACCGAATCGGCCAAACTAGACCAGTCACTATATACAGGTACTCCTACCCCACCCATCCATTTAAGTTTGAAAATTTGAATTCTAGGGACCTAGAGAGTAGATATTCAACTTCATTTGCCCGAGTTTTTTTCAGGTTAGTCACCAAGGAAACGGTGGATGAAAATGTGTATGAGATAGCAAAAAGGAAGTTAGTCCTTGATGCTGCAGTTCTTGAGTCTGGTATGGAGATGGATAACGAGGGCCAGTCATCTGATAAGACCATGGGGGAGATATTATCAGCTATTCTTCTTGGTTAGAGATTTTGTTGCGGCCACTGGTAGCCGAAGCCAAGACTCGACTCTTGTTCTGACGCTTGTCTTGGGATATAGTTAGGTTCATTTGTTGTAGCAACTGCTCCTTGAATTGGTGCAAAAACCAATAGAGGTATTAAAGTGTCGGTCCAATATCAATATGGAATAGATGTAACATCATCACTCCTCACTAATGGCAAGTAGATTTAGTTTAGGTTATACATACATGTATGTATAGGAGACGCTACTTTTATGAAACCAGAAGTTGCTTCCAAATCTTGTTCCGACTTCTGTTGTAATTTTCTATTTTATTTTATTTGTCATTTTTAATTTGTGAGGATGTCAAATTTTAAAATTCGAATTTAGCGTTTCATATTAGTGATTTGGAATTTAGCATTTCTATTAATGTGGGGTAGTGATGAAACATGCATAATCTGAAGACGAAATCACAGTATACCTATTAAACAAATATTAATTGATTTAACAGGAGATAATATATTAGGTTGATATATATATATTCTTTTTTCTATATTTTGTTGATTTTTTTACGTTATTATAAAAATGTAGATTAACTTTTCATGTCGATGTCAAGCACTACGGACAAAAATGTCGATGGAAATTTAATATCTCGGATGTTATGATAAATATTGGGGATGAGATTTCTTGCCGATCCTTCTCTTCATTAGAATATGGTTTGAAGGATTTACTGTAGGTACTGAGCCCACTCCCCCCTCCCAAGCTTTCGAACTCTTATTACATAAACAATTTATCCAAACTAATAAATTTGCCCTTTTGGCTTGGTTGCTAGAAGTGCCCCAATACCGTAATTGTTGTAAATTCGAGTCATTTTTGTTAATACTAGTCTGTACACATGATATACACGTGAATTTTGTTGTTTTATTTGATTATATAAAAACTGGAGTTTAATAAATATAATTGAAGATAACAATTAAAATATATAAATAAAATGATAAATAGTTTAATTAAGTTACATTAATTATTGGGACACTTGCAAAAGTAACAAAAAAAACGGAAATTGCAAAAAATAGCAACCACTCGAATTTTGTAAAAGTAGCAAAATTTAGAAGCACGACTCATGCAGAAGAAAGCAACAGTCCAATATCCCTTAATGACATGGAACTCGAAACAATGTTATACCTGATATATATACTTGATTGATATACCTGATTTGATATACTTGATTAATATACTTGATTTGATATATTTGATATACTGATATACTTAATATGTTAGTTGTCAGTTGATGTACCTAGTTTCTCTTCTTAAATTGTGTTTAGTTATTTATAAGTTTTAGATCAAATGGCTAACTTTTTTTTAACCTAAATTCATGTCTTTTATACTTGATATAAATATTAATATACCATTTCACATACTTGATTTGTTATATTATTGAAGGAATTAATAACTTCGATATACGTTATTATGAATGCTAATATACCAACGATATACATGATCTGAATGTTTAATACTAACGAGATATATATATATATATATCTAATTTGATATATCATTAATATACATGATTTAATATATCTAATTATTAGTGCTAATATACCAACGAATACCTTATATGAATGCATATACCATTGATATACTTGATATATTGCTTCTCGTTACTTTTTCTTTTATTGTGTTCAATTTATTTTCTTAAATTGTGTTATTTAAAGATTTTAGACGAAATGTATGTCTTTTATAACCTAGATTGCCTATCTTTTATACTTGATATGAATGTTTATAAACCATCGATATACCTGATTTGTTATATTACTCAAGAAATCAATGACACTGATATAGATGAGCACGTCAAACTACCTTGCGAGAGCGTGTCAAGCTTCATTGACCCGTGAAGTAGATGGGTAGAGCGCACTAGAAAGGGAAGGTCAAATGCATGAACACCCCAATATAATTGGAGGTCCCCGAAAACTCACCTACCAGGTGTTTGTCACGATGTCCTAAGCGTACCCTAAATGCCATCGAATCCATCGACGGACGAAAACAAACAACTATACAAACAGTCCATCGAAACAACTGACAGAAGAAATTCACATAGGACTGGTGCAAGGTTAACGTGCTTGTAGGAAACCCTCCAACTCTGATAGTCCAACTCCCTGTGATGGAGCCAAACACTTGCCAAACCTAACAAACTTGAGACGTAGTCATTGATGGGATATGAATCCTGAGCGGAAGCAATAGAACGTGTTCATGAACTTTCTTTTTTGAAATTTGAAACACAGTAAAGCATAAATACAGGGAATAACATAAGTTTCTTACCTTTGAAGAACACCTTCTCCACGTGAAACCCAAATGACACCTCCAAGGATCTTCCTGAGGACGCAGTTTGTGGGAACAAAAATGAGGGAATGAGAGTTTGAGAGAGAATTTCTTGAGAGATGAAAGTTCTCAATTTTTTATTTATTTTTATAATTTGTTTTTTGCAGGGGAAAGCATCGACCACCTGCCGAATGGTTTCTGTAGATTTATCCAAAAAAATGACGTTAACTCCCCACTCCCATGCTAAAATGTATGGGAGTTGTATAATTAATAATATTAATTAATTAAAATTAATTAATTTATTAAATAATTATTAATCAAATGTATAATTAAATAATTTAATTATTAATTATTAATATAATCAATAATAATTAATTAAATAATTAATTAGCGATTAATTATTTAACCTTTAATTAAATATCATAGATTTAATTAAACCATATATTTGAATGATATTCAAATACATCTCTTATACAACCTAGTTTTAATATGAATCCAATTTAATATTAATTATTATTTGAATCTTATTCAAATATTTCTATCATAATATATAGTTTAATTTTTGAATATTTATTCAAAATAAACTATATATATATCTAATGTATCATTATATACATTCCCTTATTTATATAATTTGAACATGTCAAATTCTTTCATAATTTTCGATCCTCGTTTTGCCGTTATGATCTAGCAAGGGGACCTAATAGACCTACAGATTAGAAGCTCCAACGATACGAGGTTAATTTATTAAACTTATTAACCAAATGAATCAACATTCGTTAGCTGCAGATCATTCCACTAAAGATCCGCTGCTGCACTCTTCTCACTGTAGAATATTTTGTGTCCATAGAAATTGACCATTAACGACAAGTAAATCTTTCACGAGTGTTCGTAACTACAGTTGGGTCAAATTACCACTTTATTCCTATAACACCCCTGAATTTCCATAGTACACTTTGGGTAACTTTACCAAACTACCTGCATAGACCCTCCCCTTAACGTACAATGAAAAACCAACAAGGTCTAAAAGGTTCAAAAGTTCTCCAAAATCAAAGAAGTAAACTCGTCCTCCATGGACTAACAAACATAAAATCATGTTTGTTTAATAGCCAATACTCGTAGCAAAACTAAATAATCAATAGAAAACATCGACTCAAGGACAATAAAATGTTCAGACACATCAGACAATACCATCAAGGCCACACCTAAACATCACTCTACTAGAACGTCCAAAACAAAAGGAAAAATCCACTATCCTCACAGCACAAGGGAAAACAAGTGAAAACACAGCCTAATGGTCCTTCCTCAATCGAGACAAGTCACCACCATGGTCATAACTCGGATCCTTACTTGAAATCAATAATTGCAGATGGGGGTGAGTATATAAAATACTCCGTAAGTAGCCCTCACTAACTACACACCACCATCATGCTAACACACGATATTCAAACAATATATTAATTGAAAATTCAAACAATCAACAAGTTGTAAAAAGGTTGACAACATACATCAAGCATTAAAGTAACACAATCCACATCTCTTAGCCCATAGGCTCTTGACTAGTCCCAAACACTTTCTAACTTTTGTCACCACATTAATTCTACATGTCTCACTCTTTCGTTTCGTGTCGGTCTTTGACCTTTGTACCGAACACCCCGACATTCCTTTACATAAACTTGGCGTTCGACCCTTGACCGTTGTACCCAAGACTTTGACGCTCATCTCCACCAAGTCTGGTGTATCGATCTCCGACCTTTGTACCTAGAGCCTCGACACCCAACTAGCAATGTTGATCCAATAATTTGTTTCTTCATGCCGATCCCCGACTTTTGTACCCGGGGCCTCGAAATTCGTCCATACTGAGACTGGTGTATCGACCCACAACCTTTGTACTTGGAGCCTCGACACCAGTAGTACCATATCAGCCCCCGACCTTTGCACCCAGGGCCTTGCACTCATTGGTTCTTTTTTCATAACATCCCACTCCATATCTCATCTCCAACCAGAATTTCCAGTACTAGCTTTCTAATTACACTTATTACAATTTCCCAGCACAACCATCATCCTGCATGATTTTAATGCGCAAAGATCGCATAAACACAACATTTAACAACTAGCAGCATGCTCACAACATATGGACTGCAAACGTAATGGCTCCTATAAGATAACAGCAACACTTGTAGACATTTTCAACATGCTTTACACAACGTAATAAAAATAGGCACAACTCGCAAAGCCTTTAAATAGATCCTTTCAACAGGTAACTATTATACACATTTGACAAAAAGAAAACTAAACAATTTCATCCAACCTGTTCCAACAACATAACGCTAGCACAAATGACCAATTTCAGAACATGCATTAAATTACCCCTAACTAACACATACAGCAATCATAACGACATGAGATATACATGTTAAATAATCAAACAGCCAAGAGTCATTTCCAACAGCCCATAAAACGCAAACACCCACCCCTAGTACTACTTACACACTCCCACGCTCCTAGTCCTTGCGTGGTTTCAACACCTATACCGTAAAACAAGAAAAACAACAAGTCATTTCCAACTTTCATCCATGGGAAAACATTCTAAGGGAGTTTCAAAAGTCCGTTTACCATGAGATCGACTTCGTTTAGGTGTAAGTGACTTAGATTTGGTTCGGATAGGAGCGGGTAGCGTAAATCGGGCCTTAAACGGAACTGGGTAGTCACGAACACAGAGAACCTAAGCTGTTTGCATTTTATAGCAGGAAAAGTCACCCTAAGACCACCTCCAACACTACTGGCCGCTACCCAAGGAGCACGGGCCACCAATACTATGTGTTATGAGTCGTGGGTCACCACTAATCAACCCGGACTTCACCAACAGCTACCGAAAACGTCCCGAAAATCCCCAGCCGCCGTGAACGTCGAGCAACACCGTCGCTGGTATACCCGTATCACCGAACTGCTGCTCGCCGGTGTGGGTCGTCGGGGAACAAAGTCGTGGCGTTGCTGCTTGTCGGTGTGGGTCATCGGGAAACGAGGTCGCGGTGCCGGT